ACTCACCACGCGACATATCAGAAAACGGGAGCGATTAGAGATAGTTTTTTAATTAGATTGCAAAAAACATTTATTCTTAATATTTTAACAACCCATTATTTTCCATTCTATATTTTTTGGCCCAATTTTTGTAGATTTGGTCCATGATTATTCTCTATTCTGTAAACCGCATCCAAATCCTCATACAAGGACCATCATAAATCTTTGTTCAATGTGGAGTTGGTACCTGTTTATCACACATGTAGCTGTCCAAAGACCTAACTTATAAATAAATTAGGATTAATATATGTTAGGACCGACTTATGACATGTCTCAGCATGCACATTGAAGCTATCTTATGAATATCCTAGCTTGGATGTCCTAACCTCTGTCCTAAGTGTAAGAGTAAAGAAAAATAGGTTTTCAAAATTATTAAATGTTTAAGAATGCATTGAATTTTGCCCGTATCAAATAATTGTAAGATTAAAAAATAGAAACATTTTAGTATTACTATCAAGATAAAACATAATGTTTATCTAATAATTGTACATTCGGACTTTATGACAAAAACGAAAACACAGAAAATGTAGCAACCTTTTATATAATACTTGAAAAAATATTTGTAAATAGGGAAAACTAATAAACGATAATCGGTAACAATCATTATATATATATTTTTGATTGAGTTTAATTCGAAGTGTCACGGTTTCATACTATGGTAAAATCTCTATACCGTTCTCAACATTGGCTAGAGGTATAGGGGAGGGTTGAGATCTCACAAAACATGTTTAACCCCGCCGCATTTTTGCGCCTGTCCCAAGTTAGGAGCCTTTGTTAATCTTGTATGGTTTCTAATTTTAGTTCATTTATATGTTTTGGAGTTTAATATGACGTTCATTTTCACTGAACTAGTATACATTTTTATTTAAGGGCCAGCTGAGGTCCACCTCCAGGTGCGGGGTTTTCTCGCTGCACTGACGACCCATTGGTGGCCTTCGGTTGTTTTCTGCTATTTGGGTCGGGTTTTTGTCTCTTTGACATATTCCCCATTTCCATTCTCAATTTTATTAGTTAGTATGCAACTGACCTGTTGGTTAAAGTAAAAAGCAATGTGTCCTCAAAGAATTTATGTGGTTGTTGCAGGTTTGGTGTTGGTAGAGGAAAAATTATTTTACAAAAGACAATAGCATGGTCACTTCCTTCTATACAGATGGGAGGGTCTCAATTCGGTTTACAAAGGAAGGATTTGTCATGCACATTGAGTCTCTATCATTTCTGGTTTTCTGGTTTATTACTTGTTCTAAGTTATTATCATCCAGAATATTACTTGAAGAAGTTGTTGGTGTAATGCTTAGTCGGTTTATTTGGTACTATCAAATTTTTCTCCCAGTTTACGTGGCCTATGTTAACGTCACCACTTAGCCAAATGTTTGCATTTGTTAACTTGCATGCAGTTTTAAATTAAGAGAGATACCCATGTTTTCTTATGATTTCATTTTATCTAAAGGTGGTCTATAGTACCCACCTACGTGTCAGTAGTGTTTTATTGCTAGGGGATGTTATTTTTGTCCAGATTATTTCTGGTAATTTAGAAACAATCCTGGTAAACTTTATCGATTCTTTAAGTAAACTTATTCTAAAGGGTTACCCAGCAATTCAACACTGTAATTGGATCTTTGAATATTGTTTTTATTGGTATTAATATTGATGTTGTTATCAGTAAATTAAATGCAAACTAAATATTATTGTTATATACATATGCACTTTCATGGATCTACAACCTGTCGATTGGCATTGCACAAGGCAATGTTTTTCTCTGATTGTTTATGATGTCTTTACACTAAATCCATTGGATGTTGGATGTGTACTGATTGATAATTTATAGTCTTAGATGCATACTTTTTTATTAGTTGTTTTTGGATTTGAACTAGTTGTCAGTAACTGCAAGTACTCTCAGATCTGTACTAAGTGTCATTTTGTTGTTGGGATGTACAAGTACCCAGCCACGTCCACTCTGTGTTTTTAGATATAAGAAGATGTGGTATGAGTGCCAATGAGACAACATTCCATCCAAGTCACAATTTGTAAAAGCAAACCATTATAGGTCAAAGTACGGTTTCAGCACGGAGCCTTGGCTCACACCGAACAGCAAGTTATAAAGGGCCCCAAAAATGACCAGTGTAAAACCATTCAAACAGGAAAACCAACGGTCTAATCTATATATAAAAAAAATGAGAAACGAAAAACACTTATTGACCATATTATCAAACGACAACTACTGAACATAGGTTCCTGGCCTAGGACAGGTGCAAACAAATGCACGGGTTTAAACGTTTTAATAGGTGACAACATTCACCCTTACCTGAAACAATAGTGTAACATCACAACATTGAAAGACACACTATAAAATATCAACTGAAATGGCTTAACTCAATCAAAAGACATATAACACAAACAAGTGAACATTCACTGAACAAATACATTTGATCTATGACACAAGGTAAATACAAAATCATTAAAATAAGGATTGAGATGTTAAACAATTTCAGGGAGACAACCATTACCTTGAACAAAATTCTGCCAAATAGAATAATGTACACAGGTAAATGAAAATAATTTTGTTGTCAGGTATACAGTAATGGAGAACGGAAATATTTTTTACACAATCATAGTACGAGAACAGAAGTGAAAATTTATAGTCATACAAAACACCTATCAAAGCTGGTATATATTAAAATAGGGAGACGAGATATAACACTAAATAAATATTCAAATAACAAAAAAGCATTACAAATTGTATCAACAGGTCAAATTAACACGAAAGTACGATTTGAGAGTGCTCATGTTACTGAAAGCTAGTTAAAAGTTTTTGTCTGATGTATTTTTATTTGTATCAATCTGATGAGTTAAGCCTTTTTCAACTGACTTTTATAGTTCGTTCTTCTTCTGATTCTTCTTTTGTTACAGAAAACCATCAACGTACTGATGTTTACTTTCCGGCGCATGCCTGGTAAATGTTTCCAAATAAATTTAAGGAAAAATTTTGTAAGAACATAAAATAGCAAACTTTTTTAGTTTTATGTTGTTTTTATTACTATTTGTTTGGTCGTATAAAAATATATTTTCATATTTTCAATTTTTACAATTTTTCTGTTTTTAAGTTATACCAAGGATTTGTATAGTAAGACAAATCCTTGGTTATACATTTTTTATTTAGTTTTTTAATATTATATTTTTTATTTTTATTTTTGGTATAAGATAAAAACAAGATTGTCTGTTTATTTCAGATGTGGGTAAGTATCAAGGAGCACATCGTGGGTGCGTGCACTCTTGAAGGTTTCTGTAGTAGTTTTTTTATTAATATCAGAGGACAATTTGTTCCAGTCTTTAATGGTTTGACAGAAAAAGGAAAATTTATAGCTGTCTTTATTACATTGAATTTGTCTGTAGGATTCTTTATGGGTGGATCTTGTAGTAGACTGACTTTGTTGTAATAAATTTTGCGATGGAATAGCAATATTTTCATTTACAATTTTGTGAAACATTATAAGCCTGCTTCTTAGTCGGTGTTCTTGTAATGTGTGTCATTTCATGGTGTCTATAGCATCTCAGACACACTGTTAGTATTGTGATGTCTGTTGCACACATTCCTTGCCGCCCGTCTCTGTACTTTTTCAAGTGATCTTATATTTCATTTGAAAATGGGTCCTATACAGAAAAGCAGTATTCTAGCTTTGGCCTTATAATTGTTTAATATGCCCTTTCTTTAATTGTTTGTGATTGAACTTTCATATTTCTTCTGATGAAGCATAAGGATTTTTTAGCTTTAGCGGCGGTTTGTTTGATGTGGGTGTTCCATTTTAGGTCTGCAAAAGATGGTGATTCCTAAGTATTTTGCATGTTTTACCGTTTCTAAGATGTGTCCATACATGTTGTAATAAAAGTGGATGGGTTTTCTCTTTGTTGTTATGTTCATGATGTTACACGTGTCTGGATGGAAAGACATACGCCAATCTTGTTCCTATTGTATGGCAGCTTCTAGGTCTTCTTGAAGCTTGATGCAGTCATTTGTCGGTAGATAATACTGTTTTCTGCAAAGAATCTGATTTTGCTATGTTTGATGTATTCTGGGAGGTCGTTTGTGTAAATTAAAAATAGTATCGGTCCTAGTACTGTACCATGTGGGACACCTGATGTGACTGGTATTTTTGAAGATTACATGTTTTCTAAAAGTATAGTGTTTGTGTTCTGTTTGAGAGAAATGATTCAACCGGCCAAGTTAATGATTTGATCTGATATACCAAAGTATATCATTTGGTATAGTAATATTTTGTGTGGTACGGTTACGTAACGCCACTGTCACAGGTTAGGGGAGTGTTGGGATCACGCTAACATGGTTTACCCCGCTACATTCTATATGTATGTGCCGGTGCCTAGTCAGGAGCCTGGAATTCAGTGGTTGTCGTTTGTTGCTGTGTTACATATTACATGGTTGGCATGTATTTCAATATGCCTGTGCAATTTCTATGCATTTGAAAAAATTTGCTGCTTATATATGATATATCTTATCTGCATGTCACAGTTCTGTGTTTTAATGTTATGTATATGTTATTCAAATTCGGTAAAAAAAAACCTCTAAAGAGCTTATGTTTGTATTGTTACAGGTGAACCGAATCAAAATGGAACTTTCGTATCGTATTCGTATACACGTGACGTATTTAAATTTGTAATGTGTAAATTAAGTCGTTTAGAATTTGCATCGGAGTTCGGTAATTTTGTTATTCTACTTTTTGGTGTAGCCTACTAAATCTGAGACGTATAAAACCATATAAGTATATGCCTCTGTTGAAAACCTTTTTTTTTTCTTCATATTTTTACGATACAGTTGGGATTTGGATTGATTAAAATTCATATAATATATATATTCTTGCTATCACATGATTTCCCATAAAAATATAAAACTTTCACGGAATTACACGTTTCTCCGAACATGGTTTTCTTTATACACAAAAAACATGTGCTTCCGGTAATTTATGAAATGTCAACAATGCAAGAAGTAGACAAATTATTTTGTTTGAAAACAACTAGATCGTATTAAGAACATAAAAGGGGCTTGATTCCCGGATTATGTACCATTGTGTTGATTCAATGCTAACCATATGCCAGAAAGAGTGTGACATATATTGAATTTAAGAAATTGGGCTTTTTAAATATTATTAATAGAGTCAAACAACTAAGACTCAATCATGTTTTCAACATTTTTAACAATATATGCCCAAATTATTTACATACTAATTTTGTTTAAAATGAAACATCCTTCAATACAAGATCTAGTAGTAAAAACTTTTATATACCAGGAATTAAAGGGTGTGAATCCACCACTTTCTTTTATAATGGAATAAAAGACTGGAATTCGTTACCAGACATGATTAAAAGTTGCTCTAAAAAATATAATTTTAAAGTACAAGTGAAAAAGTTTTTAATGGATAAATTTAAATCCATCTTTAATAGTGAATTTGTGTTTTATTTATTATACTGGGGCTTTGACCATATATCTGTGATAAATTCTAAATGATTTGTGCTTGTATTTTCTATGTGTCAACCCTTGGTGTAAACTGGAAGTCTCGTTATAAAAGGACCCCACTGGAAATAAGTTTTAATAACTTTTGTGGGTCATCCTAAGATATTAGGCTACAGTGAAAATCTAGTCAATTTAAATTTCACTCATTATTTTAATCTAGTCAATTCATATCAAAATATCATGAAAATTTTCATTATCTTATTTTTTAAATTATAATTTTTAGTAAACGTGTATATCATTTTAGTGTCTATAAACTATGTCTAGTGCTATATCTGTGTCTTTGTAATATTTTATAATTATATCTGTCAAATTCATGCCTTTTTTTTTATCTTGAATATATATATATATACAATGTATATAAGGACATTTTATAGTAAATCCACAGCCTTTCCCCTTGTACTCTCATATTTGGCAATTTGGTGCTTGATTGATAGTAGACCGAATTCTTCTGTCCCTGTACTATAATGCATATATTTCATGATTTACATTTGCTTTTAAATGATTTTGCTAATATTAATTTTTTTGTTGTTGGCAATATGGCAATATAGAGACAGAAAGCAGCACTGCAGTGTCCAGTCAAAACAGGAGATTCACATACAATTTGTTTGCGCTTGATTTTCGCTGATTTTATAAAATTTTCAGCCATCTGTACCAATACACACTTACTGATAAATGGTTTTTCTATATTTTCATGTGCCTTACGATCAACGGCCTTTCTCAGTCTAGATAATCCACTTTTTAAACATTTATTACATTCTATTTTCATTCTCAGCAAGCTAAAAAAAGTGGATTTCTAAACTCAGAAAGATCATTATTCATAGTTAGGCACATGAAAATATAGAAAAAAAGGTTTATCTATTTAGTCAAAAAGCGAGACATAGATATGCTGTTTCCAGCGGCTGCATACAGGGTTTAAGCTAGGATTTCAAGGGCTTTAGTCACTTTTGCGCGAGATGAAAATCAACATTATTTTGGGTAACAGCAAGGGACCAAGGATATATTCATATTACTAGCTATACATCTGTGTCAGACTTTGAAGGACTAAGGCATCAATTTACTAGGCAGTAATTGCATGTTTTGACTGATATGTCACTAAAATATGAAGATTAGGATATAAGATTTGAAAATCTAGTTCAAAATTATACTTCAATTAGTTTCAGGGGACATACCTGATCAACAAAAGTTGGGTTCCTTTTTTGTCGAGCCTTCGACTTTTGTCGAAAAAGCGAGACATAGTGATCCTACATTCCGTCGGCGTCGTCGTCGGCGGCGTCCACAAATATTCACTCTGTGGTTAAAGTTTTTGAAATTTTAATAACTTTCTTAAACTATCCTGGATTTCTACCAAACTTGGACAGAAGCTTGTTTATGATCATAAGATAATATTCAAAAGTAAATTTTGTAAAAAAAAAAACCATTTTTTCCGTATTTTACTTATAAATGGACTTAGTTTTTCTGCCAGGAAACATTACATTCACTCTGTGGTTAAAGTTTTTGAAATTTTAATAACTTTCTTAAACTATCCTGGATTCATACCAAACTTGGAAAGAAGCTTGTTTATGATCATAAGATAGTATCCAGAAGTAAATTTTGTAAAAAAAAAATTCCTTTTTTTCCGTATTTTACTTATAAATGGACTTAGTTTTTCTGCCAGGAAACATTACATTCACTCTGTGGTTAAAGTTTTTGAAATTTTAATAACTTTCTTAAACTATCCTGGATTTCTACCAAACTTGGAAAGAAGCTTGTTTATGATCATAAGATAGTATCCAGAAGTAAATTTTGTAAAAAAAGAATTCCATTTTTTCCGTATTTTACTTATAAATGGACTTAGTTTTTCTGCCAGTTAACATTACACTCACTCTGTGGTTAAAGTTTTTAAAATTTTAACAACTTTCTTAAACTATCCTGGATTTGTACCAAACTTGGACAGAAGCTTGTTTATGATTAAAAGCTAGTATCTAGAAGGAAATTTTGTTAAAATTTTGTTCCATTTTTTCCTTATTTTACTTATAAATGGACTTAGTTTTTCTTCCAGTTTACATTACATACAATCTGCAGTTTAAGTTTTTAAAACATTTATTAGATTCATAAACTATCCTGGATTTTTACCAAACTTGGACAAAAGCTACTTACAATCAAAAGATAATATAGAGAGGAATATTATTATTAATTATTTTTGTTGAGCCTGCGCTTAACAGCAAAAGTAGGCGAGACACTGGGTTCCGCGGAACCCTTACGAATTTTCTAAAACCAGGAATCACAGTATAAATGAACTTGTTGAACTTTGTGAGACTATTACACTGCATAATCATTATCCTTATAAATCGTTTAAATCGATATTTTGAATTAATTTCTATAAAGTTGGAACCAAGGATTTGTACAAACGATTCCAATAACTGTAAATTGTAAATTAATCGAGAATTGATCACGTTTACTTTCGATTTTCAAATGAAATGTAAACGGGAAGTGACAAGTAGATAATAAATTCAGAATGAATCCGGTTTCATCTACGGATTGGTTCGTGTTTAAAAAAAGGCAGGAAATTATAATTTTTTATTTCAATTTGCTTATTAAGAACTATATTTGTCTTTCTCATTTTGGCACTAAATTAATTTCATATTTTACGTTTTAGTGTCTAAAGGAATACTTTCACGCATGCACAGTATATCGTAAAAGAAGCACCTGACTCGTTGATGATGATGGAAGTTTTTAATGTGAAAACATTTCTGAACGTTTTTAATAAAGTTCTATCTTTTTGATCGAAATTGAACGTTTTATATCAAAAATTCGTAAGGGTTCCCCGGAACCCAGTGTCTCGCCTACTTTTGCTGTTAATCGCAGCCGCAACAAAAATGAGGAAGTAAATCAATAAAAATATTCCTCTTGATACTATCTTTTGATTGTAAGAAGCTTCTGTCCAAGTTTGGTAAAAATCCAGGATAGTTTATGAATCTAATAAATGTTTAAAAACTTTAACTGCAGACTGAATGTAATGTTAACTGGAAAAAAACAAAATTTCCTTCCAGATACTAGCATTTGATCATAAACAAGCTTCTGTCCAAGTTTGTTACAAATCCAATATAGTATAAGAAAGTTATTAAAATTTTAAAAACTTTAACCACAGAGTGAATGTGTTGTTTCCTGGCAGAAAATCTAAGTCCATTAAAAGTAAAATACGGAAAAAATGGATTTATTTTTTTACAAAATTTCCTTCTAGATACTAGCTTTAGATCATAAACAACCTTCTGTCCAAGTTTGGTACAAATCCAAAATAGTAAAAGAAATTATTAAAATTTTAAAACTTTAACCACAGAGTGAATGTGTTGTTTCCTGGCAGAAAATCTAAGTCCATTTAAAAGTAAAATAAGGAAAAAATGCATTTTTTTTTTTTACAAAATTTACTTCTGGATACTATCTTATGATCATAAACAAGCTTCTGTCCAAGTTTGGTAGAAACCCAGGATAGTTTAAGAAAGTTATTTAAATTTTAAAAACTTTAACCACAGAGTGAATGTAATATTTCCCGGCAGAAAACTAAGTCCATTTATAAGTAAAATACGGAAAAAATGGAATTTTATTTTTACAAAATTTATTTCTGGATACTATTTTATGATCATAAACAAGCTTCTGTCCAAGTTTGGTAGAAATCCAGGATAGTTTAAGAAAGTTATTAAAATTTCAAAAACTTTAACCACAGAGTGAATATTTGTGGACGCCGCCAACGACGACGCCGACGGAATGTAGGATCGCTATGTCTCGCTTTTTCGTAAAGTCGAAGGCTCGACAAAAATGACGAAAATACGATCATATGACGAAACTATGACAAACGAACTGCAAATAATGATCGTTTTAGAAATATTGAAATTAAAAAGTGAACTGTCCAGGGGAAAACAATTTTGTTCAAATGACGAAACTACGACAAACGAACTGTAAATTGTGGTCGTTGGCCTTGAGAAATATTGAAATTAAAATGCAGACTGACTAACTTTACTGGGGAAAATAATTTACCAGGTCACCATCGGAAGGCGATAAGCTGATTAGCTGTAATCACAACTTTATAACACCTGTTGTAAATGTTAATTAGCTGAGGGTCATAAACTTGTCAGAAACATGTAGACCGGTAGAATTATAACATTTTCATGCGAAGATATTTTTACACTTTCCAAATTTAAGTGATGAAATTGATTTGAAATACTTTCGTCATTTTGAAAACAGTTTCGTAAATTACAAAAGTGACGAGCGCTAGCAAAATCACTGTGCATGTCAACAATGTATTAGTTTGTGATTAGGTCTTGTTTATGGTGAACCACAAGTGGTAGGTCAATGATATTTTTTATGCAGTTGTATAAGCATTGGCACATCTCATTTCCATGGAGATTATTTGGCCCTGCCCCCTCAGTCATGGTTTATTGACTTTGAAACTTTTGCTTAGTTTACAAGTATTAGTTTGTGATTAAGTCAGGTTATGGGAG